AGTATAAAGGGATAGCCCAGTTTGAAAGAACTGGGCTCTCCTGATGCTCAGAACAGACAAAGACACTGTCCAGGATCAGGTTTTGAAGCGGTTCATTCAGTAGATGCTGGCCTGATCACAGTCCCTAATGGTTCACCTGTCTATGATAACAACTGAATGGTACTGCGGTATGATTCTACCCATAACAAACTACGTGTCTTGTTATCTGCTTACGTTGGGGGGGGGAGGGGAAATGACAATAACATTTGAACAGCCAGAGAATTTCAAACTGCTTCAAGTATGGATGGGTGTGAGTTGAAGGCCTTGTTATAGCAAACACAGCAGAAAGCCTCATGCTGTTGGCGCACATTCATCCCACGTTTTGATGGAAATGGGGAAAGACTTGCCTTCCCCTATTTTGTCTTGGCAGCTTAATTATCCTGGCTATAGTCACAGCCAATGTTTGCCGTCTTTTCTTTCTCTCCCTTTTAAATCTAAAAAGCTTCCCCATGATGACAAATAAATGTTTTGCCATTCTAAATAATATTTCCCCAAGGATCTCATTTGAACAAGTTACTGTCAATAGGAATGCAGCAGAGCATCAATTCAGCCTGGCAACCGTGCGGTTTTGGATTGTCCATTTTGCTTTGGCTCAGCCAAAGTGGCATTCTGTGATAATTAAAAAGCAGTATATGTGTGCCTTTGTGTGTTGTGTGTAAGTGTGTTGGTGTGTCTCTCTATGCGTGTATTTACAGACAATTACGGTACATGAATTAAAACTTAGATATGAATCTGATAGCTTTGTTTCACCAAATAGAAGTTTTAATGAGTGTACATAATTTTTTTTCCATTTATTAGATCATAAAAAGAGTTAATAGCTGACATGCAGATTTCTTTGAGAAATGTATCTCACAAAGGCAGTTTTGCATGGATGAACTGGCCATTACTTTATGAACTGGCCATTATACAGCATTTCTTTATTTACAATAACTACTGAACATACATTGCAGTACCTTCTTGGTCTGTTTTTCTTAGAATATGCCTTATTTCCGGTTTCTGTTCTTTCTTGACTCTTTCTTTAGCTTCTTTTTCTTTTCTCAGACAAGGATTATATTTCATTGCGTTGCTGAGCCTGAGTCTGTTCAGAGAATCATACTTGGATCCAATTTTAGTACTTCTGTTGTCAAAATAAGCACAATACTTGAATCCTTTTCTCTTTCCCCTTCTTTGATAGATAAATGGTACTGTAAATTGTAAATATGCATGAACTGGTGAAGAGATAAAATAGATTGATGCCTCAATTTTATCAGTATGGCACACAGCAGAAGTTATCTAATAACATTTTGGAGCTGAATACCTAATTTCATCACTCTTATTATTTTGTTTATTTATATTCTGCCTTTATTATTTTCATAAATAACTCAAGGGCATAATAATACTAATAATACTAATACTCATTCCTCCTCCTATTTTTCCCAGAACAACAACCCTGTGAGGTGACTTGGGCTGAGAGAGTGACTGGCCCAAAGTCACCCAGCCAGCTTAAGGCAGGAATAGAACTCACAGTCTCCTGGTTTTTAGCTTGGTGCTAAAAACTCACAATTGGACCCAAGACCACAATGCCCTGTAAGTTGCTGTGGCAGAACTTGTTTCCCTGCAAGCATGACTAGGAGTGCTGTATGTAATATTAAAATATTTGCTGTAAGATGGACTAGAAGAAAGTGTTCATTTAATAAAGGCAAATAAGCAACATGTGTGGCACATCCACACACAATGCTTGTGACACTCCCAGACCGGTTCCACACCTGTGCAATCCCACAACACAATTTCTGTTTAGATCTGAGTTGGTTTACTTTATGCTTAGCTGCATTCAACAGAAAACAAAGTGACATTTAGCAGGGTCTATTTAAAAAGCACAATTACTGTACAATTCTTAAAGTTTCTTCTAGGCAATAGCCTTAGCTTAGATGCTTTATACGATGCAACTTTGAGGAAGGAGATGACCTGTTTCCAGAATGGAAGTAAAGGGTTTTTTTTCTCCCAATCCTTTGCCACATACAGAAATTGCTCTGGATCAATACATGCAATGAAGAATGTGTCCAAATGTTGAATAGTTTTATGGAGATTTGAGTAGTAATCTGATAAAGACTATCTTGATTTTCATTGTAATGTTTTCACATATACTATTTTGACATAATCTGTACTATGAAAAAAAAGCATCACTACCATCATGATGGATTCTTATTAATGGATAGACTTGGGATAGGCAAGAGATCCCAAAGGGAAACTAAAAAAAAAGAAAAGCAAAACATATATTACAAACACACAAATGAACCTTTCTTCACTAGTGTCATCCAGCCCTTGGGATGTCAAAATAATAGCTTGGTGGGAAACTAATGTGCTGTCCCTATTTATATTCTGTCCTCAGTGGCTAACAACATGCATTGTCTTCATGGAAAGAGACAAAGTGGCTCGTGAATGGCCATGACTTGTCTTCTTCACATGCAGGCACTTCGCTAGGAATCCACCAATGACTGATCAAAGCCACCCTGAAATGGGGCTAAGTCAAGTGTAATAAAGATCATGTGATTGATGGGCCAATTGGGCTTGTAAAGACATATTGGGGGGAAAATGAAGGTGATTTGAAAGAAGCTAAGTTCATCTTCCTTTGGTAAATAAGTGCTGCTTTGATAAATAAGTGCTGCTTTGATAAATAAGTTATGCATTGATTAAAAACCAGCAAAGCCTATTTGAATGGATGCATTTTAAATTTAAAAATGTAAATTTAAAAAATGAATATATAAGCAAAGGTTATTTTGTGCCATTTTCAACTGCTTTAAAAAATCTTGTGAGGCTTTGATGAACATGTCCCTAGAAAATTCATCCTGGGTGGAAAATTGTCTGGCAGAAAAAAATCAACCTCATAATAGCTTCCATGATTCTGCAATTCATAGAAAAGTGGAAAGATAATAACGGACTGTAATTGAAGCAAGCTTGTCATTGCTTTACAACAATTCTTTGGAGTAACAGATCCTGAAGTGAAACTGAAATAATAAGCTATTTATATGAGCTATCAGCTTTCTTTACTGTTGGGTTTAAGATGCAAGATTGAAGACTGTGTTTTGTTCTGATACAAAGCCTTGAAACTAGAAGGCAGAGGATTAATTGACTAAATACTCCTGGGCCAGCTCTAAGTTTCAAAGTCAGGCAACAGAAACAGACGTGCTGTGCTGCATATTTATGAATGTGAAATAATTAAAGTTAAACCTTGATCAGGCCTTTGGGGCAGTCCGTCTCACTGATAGAAAATACCAGTTTATCATTACTCATTCAAAAATGTATTCTGCTAATTCCTTTTGTTTGTTAACAAAAGAGCACAAGACCAGAGTCTATTATGCTGATGATTCTCACTGATATTCATGCTAACTCAGAAGTCAGTCTCATTAAATCAATAGAATCAGCACCCCAAATAAGTATGTAAACAACAACAAGTTTAAACTGAAAGACATTTGGAGAAATACTTATTCATTGATATCAATAATGTAGCATTTTGTTTCTAGGTTACTGCTGAATTCAAATTAACTTAATTGCGCAAGGCAGACAAAATTGCAATGAACAAAATTGCAATTGCAAATAAAAAAGGCTTCTCTAATCTTTAAAACTCCTGCTCAACCCCAAAATAAATACACAATAATTTGGGTTCACTTGTCAAATTTTTGTTTCTCAGTCAAACTATGAGGGTTGATTTCATCTAATATGCTCTGCTAAAATCAAACAATCACATTATGGTTGAGTATGGATGTGTGAATTCCATCACAAATTATATAATAACTCTTCAGCTTTCAGATGGTAAGCGGGGGTTTTGGGGTGTGCAAAAGGTTCAGTAGCTACAAGCCCTACATATCGGTACAGAGGGACTTCCATCCCAAAAATGTTTCAGCATTTCTTCAAATTAAAACCATACACTTCTTCAAGGAATAAAACTAAACTATCAAATTCAGCTCAAAAAATGACTCTATAATTTGGTGTTTCCTCTTACACATCTGTTTACTAATTGTAAATAACAAAGAACATGTTTGGGTGGGTGGGTGAGTGGGTGGTGGGAACTATATTGACATTGGAAGCAACAAGAAGAAAAGGAGGAGAGATTGAGTGGAAAATTTATCCTTAGGACTCCCAGAGTCCTAAAAAGGCTTGAATCAGAATCACCTCTGAACTTTAGCTCACATTGCCATGACACCAGCCAATACAGCTCTATTGGCTTATCTTTGTAACAATCGAAACCACAACTTTCTCCTCTCTCAAAACAATGCTTAAGTGCTTTAAAATAATGTAAAATCCTATTTAAAAAAAATAAGCAAAACCAAATTCAAAATCAAAAGATAAAGAAATCCAAACATAACGTGTCTTAATTACAAGATGAAAGGAAGGGGAGAAAGAATACACGCACTTACATTTTTCAGTCTGGGTCCCAGGCTACAAAAACAAAAGCAACCACCCCTTTGTTCATAGATATATCTTCCAAACCCTAATTCCTATAGTAACCCAAGTACTTTGAAGCTTTCATTTATGCTTTCTGTAACCACTCCTAGAAGAGTAAATCAGAAGTATTAGAATGAACTTCCAGGCTCATCTTCACATCCCTCTAACTCTGGCACAAGGAGCTTGTGAACCATTTTTAAGTTACATTTCTTCATGATATTGTCTTGGTCTCATCCGCAGTCAACTGTGAAGACGGTCTAAAGTAATATCAAGATGCTTCCTAAGGAATTGTGGGTACTTTGGTTGCATTGAAAAAAATTAATTTGAGTCAACCTATCCTTCACCAACCCAAGCCTGATTTAAATGAAAATATGGTAGTCATCATGCTGAGAAAGGATAATTAATACCATCTGCCATTAATATTTAAAAATTACTGTTGTCCATGTTGCAGTCAATGAGGTGACTGTTGATAATTCCAGAATTTTCTTGGTCCTTTTGTAATTTCTGTACATATATGATACTGTAATGTCTTGTAAATGCTAGAGCCATTTCTCAGGAAGAATGTCTTCCCATGTTCTTACCAACAGATCCATGCAACAACTCATATTTTCCTCATTAAACCATGCTACTTCTGTGTTTCCTCCAAAGAAACCTACAGTCTGGTTGATGAAACCATTAGCCACTTGGATTTATTGTCAGTTCACTCCTTCTTGTTCTTGTCTTAGACAAGAACACAAGTAAAGACTTGCTTGAACTTCTTGCGGAAGTGCTTGGAAATGAGAGCATAAACAATCGGGTTGAGGCAGGAATTGGCATACGAGCAGCAATGAGAAGCTAGGCGTAAGGCATAGGTAGCTTGGTTAAAGGGGAAATAGCCAAACCAGAAACACAAGATCACTAAATGGTGGGGCAACCAACACAAGCAGAAGAGGACAGTCACTGTAATAATCATCTTGGTGACCCTCCGTTTGGCTTTGCGGGACTCTGAGATTCTTTCCAGAGGGTCTACAGCAGTCCACAAGAATTTGATGGTTCTGCCATAAGCCAGGCTGACAACAGAGATTGGGAGGATGTAACTAAACACAAAAGTGAAGATGTCTAAGATCTTCCGATGTTGATCCTCCCAAACTGGAGCACAGATGAACGTCTCCTGGTAATTAATGGTTTGGTAATAGCTGAGATAGGGTCCTGCAAAAAGCAGGGAGAGGGTCCAAATCATGATAATAGCAAGGACTGCATTGCAAGTGGTACGGAGATTCCGAGATTTCAGTGGGTAGCAAATAGCCAAATATCTGGAAACAAGGCAGAGGTTGATAAATTCAATAGATATAAATACACCTATCATTATTTTCCCCTTTATTGCTTAAATGCATTGCTCTTATTGGCCCACTTTCTTCCAGATTCAGACTCTCCTTGTGACAAACCTTTTTCATTCCCTTTTCGGCATGAATTTGACACTTAAAATGCCACCCAAACCTACTATTTGAAAGTCTACAGAAATTGGTGTAGGTGTTCATTATTTCATAATCCCACAAATATGATATGGATCTTTTTTCCCCAATACAAGTAGAAATGTTTTGGAACCCACATATTTGAACCATGCCAAAAATTCATTCTATGTTTGGATATGACATGTTTCTGAAAGAATTTATTCATATACCATTTGAGAGGAAACAAAAAGAACTGGTAAGTAGGCTACAATTATTAAGTGGAAAGGAAGGGGAAAGCACAAAAAGAGTAAAGTGATAAAAATAGAAACACTTTCTTTTTAATTGGCTGTGACATAGGTGGAGGTTGGGAATGAAGATGGAGATCAAGCCTAAGGCTACAACTCTGCATGCAGTTGAATGGAATGAGAGAGTTTGGGTATGTTGAGCAACCCATGTAAACTCTGTTCCCTGGAAGGTTTTTTGCTAGCAAGTATAAAGCTAGCAGAATGTGGAGCAAGCTGTTTAGATCCTACCTTTCTGACGTGTCATGTTTTTATTTACATAAAAACGTTCATGGTTGATTTTAAATGTATCCTTCAATCTGATTGGAAACCATCTAATCTAGCTCGAGACATTTGTATATCTCCCAGGCATGCTTGGATACTTCTGGCCTCAACCACATAAAAGACAAATCGATTGGGATGCCTTAGTTATGGGAAGATAGGAAGTACGTTTTTTAAATAAATAAAAATAGATCACATGAGGGGTCCTTGGTGCTTTCTGAGCTTGGTTGTTTTCTTGCACATATTTCATTACTGAAATTAGGTAACAACCTCAGTGCTTTCATTTTATACTCTAGTGCAGGTGTCTTCAAGCTTGGCCCTTTTATGACTTGGCCCTTTTATGACTTCAACTGGCGTGCCTGGCTGAGGAATTCTGGGAATTGAAGTCCACAAGTCATAAAAGGGCCAAGTTTGAAGACACCTGCTCTAGTGGCTCACCCTGTTAGTATTGGTGGGAGTTGTCTTGGTGGTTCTTTGGTTGGGTTGTTTACTGTTAGCTGGTTTGGCAGTTTTTTGACTGGGGTATTGTTTGCTTCTTGATTGTTAGTCTAATGTTAATCTTGGTGATAATCTCTGCTCATTTGGGTGTTGATTGCTGGTGAGAATGAGTTTTGGTCTTTTTGTTCCCTTTTTGGCGTTGATTGTTTCTTTTAAATGATGTGTAAACATTGTTTATGTCTATGTGCTGGGGATGGGTGCTTTCTCAGAAGATCTACATACCTTTCATCTACATACTATACACATCTACATAGCTCAGAGAGCACAAAGACTCCTCATTTCAACCCTGAAGTACAAATTTTCTCCTCTAATAGGGTCACATGTCAGGTACTTTAAGATTTTTGATAGTTAAAGGATTAAAGACTCTCTTCCTTCTCCTGTTTAGAAATAAATAGACTGATTTCACATATCATATTAAGCAATGGTTTCTTCTTATTTTTTTAAAAAATAAGTCTCAGTGCCTGAATATATACAACATATACATTTACCTGTCCACAGAAACAGCTGCCAGGGTAAAACTGCTGGCATACAAGGTAAGGTAGATGAAGAAATGCACAGCTTTGCAGGCAACAGCACCAAAAAGCCATCCATCCAGAGTATAGATGGTGGCCTGGAATGGGACACAGAAAACAATAAAGAAGAGATCTGCCACTGCCAGGTTGAGGATGAACAGGTTTGTAGTATTATATTTCACCTCTCCATTGTGTAGCAGCACAGCCAACACCAGGCTATTCCCAACTGTGCCCACAAGGAAGATGAGGGAAAAGACCACAGGCACAATAATGCCTACAGCTCTTGCTTCTAGGCTGTCGGAAGAGGTGTTCCAGCTGTCTGGCATCTCTCCATCAGAGATAATTTAGGCCTGGCAAAAATAGAAAGAGAAATAAATGATGACCTCTCCTTAAGGATGGCTTTCACTCCTGGGTTCAGCATATGCTCTTCTTACCTCCAAAAATTGCCACTTTCATTTTCTATCCCAGCATTTTGCAACCTGAGATGAAGGATAACATGACTCTTCTTCTCTACCATTCCATCTAAAGAACCCCACTGGACTGACAGTTAAATCTTATTTCACTTGACCACACCTGAGGGCTGAAAGCCCATATAGGGGACACAGGATAAGGTATATTCATTGCTGCTACTTCCTCTTGACAGCACTCAGCCTCCAAGATCTTACTTCTCCAATTCTCCCATTCTAAGCAGCCTACCATTCAAGCCCAATATAGGAGAGTTAAGTTGGCGGTCAAAAGTTTCCCAGAACAGGTTGTGGGAAGGCAAGAGGTGCCACGTTTAAATTATATGAGTAAAAGAATGTAGGGTTAAGGTTAAAGTGGGCAGGACAAATAATGTGCAAGGCTTCAAGGTCAGACACATTGTGTCCTCCCACTTTTTTCAGGGTTGCTGTATGTTGGCCGTGTTAGACTAACCGTGTTAGTCTGTGGTGGTGTCTGATAGCACCTTTTCTAAATAACACATTTTAATAAAATCAGTTAGAAAAGGTGCTAGAAGACTCCTCCTGATTCATGGGGGTTCTAAGAATTGCAAAAGTGATGCTGGACTGGCTATAAGTGACTGTCAGCCCTTCGAGGTAGATCAGGAAAAGAAGCAGACTCAACAAATGTAGCTGGAACTATACTTTATTAAGCTAAACTATAGTAATAGAATTTTGAAAGCCTGGCCTGAGTTTTTCCCTCCCTGCCTTTTATATTATAGTGCTGTATTTCTCAATCTTGGCAATTGAAAAATGCGTGGAGTGCAATTCCCAGAAGGGCTGGCTAGGTCGTTCTGGCTAGGAAATGACTGTTCTGCTGAACCACGGAGGAGTGAATCTTATCCTCTTACTCACACTTTATGTCTGTGTTAAAGCACACTTTTGTTTTTTCAACTTTTGCCTTGCTCCTCCAAGGCAATTTCCTTCAGCTCTACAGTGATCTAAAGCTTGTCCATCCCTGCCAAACTATGTCCTTTAGCACATACAACTAAAAAACTGAATATACTGTATACACATCCTGCCCAAGCTAGCTATGCCTGGGTTTTATTTTTGTGTTAAACTTTACATTATAAGCTCGTTGGATCAAGGACTATATACTTGTTCTAAATTTATACCTTGGCATTACTATATGTGCATGTTTGTTGTGTTTAATATTTTCAAGGGCAAATCTATACCCATGGTTTCAAATAAGCAGGTAAAAACGTTTGCAAACTGAAACAGCAAACAGAAGCAATTCAGTACTCCTGAAATATACAAAGCAAATGGGACTCTGGTCAGGACTGGCATATCATTTTATTTGTTTATTCAATTTATAGGTAATCCCCAACTTACAACCACAACTGAGCCCCAAATTTCCACTGTTAAGCAAGACAGTTGTTAAGTGACTTTTGCCCCATTGTATGACCTTTCTTGCCACAGTTGTTAAATGTATCTCTGCATTTGTTAAATAGGTAACCCGGTTGTTAAGTGAATCTGGCTTCCCCATTGACTTGGCTTGTCAGAAGTTTGCAAAAGTTGGTCCTGGGATACTGTAAATACATCATACAGTAAATACATGCCACTTAGCAAGTGTGCAACAGTTATAAGTTTGAAAAACGGTCATAAATTACTTTTTTCAATGCTGTTGTAATTTTGAACGGTCAGTAAACGAATGGTTGTAAGCTGAAGACTGTCTGTATATAGCTGCCCATCTCAACAAGTGACTCCGTGCAACAAACAGAATTAAAATGAAATAAAACAATTACAAACATTACAATTTTTTTTGAGTATCTGATGACTCTGTATGTTGGCTTATCATGAAGACAGCTGGTGAGATCTGAGTAGGAAGCAACCGCAGGCAAAATGCAAATGTGTTCCTATCTTGATATCAAAATCAGAGAAGCTTTTTGATTTATCATGTCTCTGTCTGCATGCAATCATGTCCGCTAAAGGCATACTATATATATATATATTAATATCAGTGAGCAAACACGAGCACCAGGGAATATGGTAAAATAATTTAATATTAAAGTTACTAATTAAAACGCCTAGCTTTCGTCGGCTATCTCCCGACGTCCTCAGGGCTCAAAATGTCAGTCCATGGGAGAGTCACTTTTATAGTTTGACTAGCGTGTGCGCACGGCTCCTTGATCTTGTTATTGGGCCGGCCATGACTAAGCACGTTCCTGACGCCGGTTCCTTGGTAACAGCTTCCTCCCTCCCGCGCCTCTCATCCTCACAGCTATCATCAGGGAGTTTTTCTTTTTTAGAGCTGGATGTCAATGGAGGATCTCCTTTCGCACACTCAGATCCATCTTCTGTTTTCCTTTCCNGGAAAGGAAAACAGAAGATGGATCTGAGTGTGCGAAAGGAGATCCTCCATTGACATCCAGCTCTAAAAAAGAAAAACTCCCTGATGATAGCTGTGAGGATGAGAGGCGCGGGAGGGAGGAAGCTGTTACCAAGGAACCGGCGTCAGGAACGTGCTTAGTCATGGCCGGCCCAATAACAAGATCAAGGAGCCGTGCGCACGCGCTAGTCAAACTATAAAAGTGACTCTCCCATGGACTGACATTTTGAGCCCTGAGGACGTCGGCAGATAGCCGACGAAAGCTAGGCATTTTAATTGGCGTTTTAATTAGTAATTTTAATATTAAATTATTTTACCATATTCCCTGGTGCTCGTGTTTGCTCACTGATATTAATATGGAACTACCTAGGGATCACATTTTTAAAGAAATTTCTGATATATATATATATATATAATCCCAAATGCTTTTTAGTTTCAATTTCAGTGCATCAAATGCCTGCTTTTCTCAAAGCAAAAATACTGTACATAGAAAATGGATGCATTAAGAAAGGCACAGATAAAATTCAAGTGTGTAAAATACGAAACTAGTAGTAAATGAAGATCTCTCTTGGTAAACAAAGCAGGAATTAATGCCTAGAATTTACTTAGTGCCTAAAAGACAGAAGTAGGGGCCACTCATACTGTCTCGAGGAAAGCATTCTGTACCCAGGACACCACTAGTGGATGAAAAGCCAGCTACGGAGGCAATTGCTTCTCTACACTGTTGCTTTCCTGCTTTGTCTTTAGCAGAAATCTGATACATGCATTCAACAGGTTAAGCTTTTCTTAAATTAGTGTATAAGCAGGGAGAAAATAATCTTTGGCTGAAATGTATTTATGTATGACAATGTATAAACACAAGAACAGAGGAAGAATAGAAATTTGACAATAGGATCCACAAAAACTAAACACAGAAGCTCTGATCAACATGCAAACCTGTAAATTTGAATGGCATTGGCTGCAATTTTGGCACCCATCTACTGTCCAAGAGCATACAGCATTGGATGGTAATATGTTGGGCTCTACTTAAGGGGCATGAATTGGGCATCTTTGTCAGCTGGCCCTGAGATCTGTTTTTGACAGTCACTGAATCATGAATTTGCATTGTTGGGCTTTGCTTACTTTGGGAATCCAGCCACTGCCATTTGTAAGTTATGGTTTGTTGCAGTTTCATGTTTGAATCTAGCCACTGTTAAAATAAACCATGGCTTGGCATATTTCATGTATCCAACCAATATCTTTTACATGCCTATATTAAATATGCTAGTTTAATGGTGTTATTGAGCAATAAAGCTCCTTCTTCTCCATTACTCAGGCTGCAAGTTCAAAACTTCTTTCTTTTTAGGAGGGTCAAGATAAAAAAACTCTGGGTTCCCTCCTTTACCCAGCTATTTTCCCCATAGCTGTTAAATCTCTTTCTTTTTCTTTGTGATCCTATACAAATTGCCACGTTTTGAGGCAGGTCCTGTATTTTACATAAAGGCACGTCAAAGGGTATCCCTATGAAAAACTGAACCTTGGATTCCTCTCAGTCATAGGAATTATAGGAGCCCTGGCACATAATGTATGGATGAAAAAAAGTTTAGTCATAATAATTTGATTCACATATGACCTTAGGTTCATACATCATATGAAACCAAAATCAATGAATAACATTATGGCTTAATATAATGAATGAACTCAGTATATGATTTTAGGAAATAACAGGTATCTACAAGGAACACTTAATGTCTACTCATATTCTTTGGTCCTTCTGTACAAATAGATTTTGTAGCTTTTTCAGAACAATTCATACTGGAGCTGAACAAGTGAAATCAGTGAATAAAACTACTGTCTATCTCTAGTTTTAACTTGATTTAATTGAGTTCAGCTTTAGGCTTGTTTCTGGTGCACACAATTGAGGTTTTTGTTTTTGGCAGTATTTATTTTTATATTTCTGCACCTTCCTTTCTACTGTTCATGTTAAGTGAATAATTCTGAATAAGCAATAGTGACATTTTGCAGCTCCTGATCATGCCACACGTAGCTTGTTTACAGTATGTACTCTTCCAAAAATTGGTTGTAAAAAAAGAGACAACCTTGGTGCCTTAAACAAGGGACCAACACAGATCCTCAATGAAGCTATTATGAATATAATCCCGCAGCTGTCTATGTTCATTTCACCAATAGAAATAAATTCTGCCAGGGACAAAAGCCTGGAGACTACAAGTTACTAAATCCCAGTAGTGAAAAAATATTACACCAGGTTTGATTAAATATTTTCATTTTTTAAATCTGTGTGATAATAATATATTCTAAAGTAAGATTAATGGGAAAGAGCATAATTTGTATGATTATTGTAGGATTCAATCTGGGTCGGTCACCGGGAACAGAGGTTTGGTCTTCCAAGCTTTTGGATTCTTCTAGAGAGACATTCCCTGAGGATGGGGGTTCCAGCACGAGTCCAAAGGTTCGGAAGACTAAAACCCTGGTCCCGGTGACCAACCCAGATTGGATCCTGCAGTACTATCCTGGGACA